TGGTGAGTGGGCTGTCTTTGTTGTGACAATAACACCTCCTTGAGACACCAGGGCGGCTGTTAGACTCTAGCCAGAGGCAATAGTGTTCTGGTCCCTGAAGAGGACACTGATAAACCAGCAGATGTGTGGAATCTGGGCTCAAATAGAGCAGAAGTTCCATTCTGGCAGAGAATTCTATGCTAGATAGTTGCTAGTCTGATGTTGGGAAACAACTCTTCTTATTTATGACACTGTGAATCACAATATGCATGCTGGGGTTATGCTCCCTGTGGCTGAGCAATATATTGAATGTTATATTTATGATGAATTTGCTTGGGATAAAAAACAAAGTTTACTTTTAATGCAGTGTTAAAGGAATAGTCCAACAAAAAAATTAACATTCTGTCATCATTTACTCCCCCTTGTGTCTTTCCAAACCTGTATGACTTTCTTTTTTCTACAGAACATGAAAGAAGATATTTTGAAGAATGCTGGGAACCAAACAGTTTCGTTTCCCATTGACTTACTTTGTATTTTTGTCCGTACAATGGAAGTCAATGGGAACCAAACTGTTTGGTTACCAGCATTCTTCAAAATATCTTCTTTTGTGTTCTGCAGAACAAAGAAAGTCATACAGGTTTGGAAAGACATGAGGGGAAGAAAATGATGACAGTTTCCATTTTTGAGTGGACTATCTCTTTACTAGCACATTCACACCAAGAAAGAAACTTATATTAGCGCCCACACACCAGTGCATTCTGTTTATTATAAGCCCATACTGCAGTTATGTCTGCACTCAAGCTCTTTAAAGGTGGATTCTGATTGGCTGTCAATGTTTTTATCGTTCATCAGCTGTAAAAAAAAAACAACAACAATTCTGATAGTGATTCCAACAATAACATGAATAGAGGAAAAGAGGACATACGAATCTGTAATCTAGGCAAGTTGTTTCTTCTACATCCTCTCAGTCTCTATTCTCTGTAACTCTTTCCACCTTTCCCTCCAGCTTTACCATGATGCTCTGGAGTGCCTGAATCTTCTTTCTCAGCGTCTGGGATCGAACACATTTTTCTTTGGAGATTCGTAAGTGTTTTACACATCAAGGTTGATCTTTGAGCTTTACTCTCAGTTGATTATGGGTTAGGTTTAGTACATACATTTTCTATACATTTTTATATACATTTGATGTTTTTGTATGTGTGTTAAAGGCCCTCTTCTCTAGATGCGTATGTGTTTGGTCATCTAGCTCCGCTTATTAAGATCCGGCTGCCTAACTGCCGACTGCAGCAGAACTTGAAGAATCTGGACAACTTGAACACATTTTGCTGCAACATCTTGAGCTTGTACTTCCCCAGCGAGAGTAAAGGTGACCAATAACCACAATAAAGTGTTTGCAAAGAACAAAAAGTCCATTCTTCTGTCTGTAGCATAAGAGTCATTGAGTCCTGATGTTCGTGTCTGTTCTGTTTGCAGAGGGCGTCAATCGTCCGATGTCCAGCACACAGCAGGGGAGCGACTTTGACAACGAGCCATACAAGAGACGCAAGCAGCTGCTGTCAGTGCTGGTCGCCGTGGCAGCGATGTTGAGCTATGCTCTCCTCACGGGCATAGTAGCTATTGAGCATGTGCAGGAGGAGGAGCATGTAGGCCCTGCCTCACTCAGAGGCCCCTCCCATGAGGAAGAAGAGGAGGAGTGAATGAGGATGAATGAAAGTAGGACTTTTTAGTTGCACTGGGATGGTCACGTCTACTTGGTGGAGGAACACACAGGAACAACATATTGTTGGGGATTTATGTATTACTTGTTCCTTGACTTGAGCTTTAATTGCGTTATAATCTTTGGTTTTATATCTTTGTTAGACGACTTTATTTTTTCCATAGAGCTGCACTTGTTGCTTTAATCTCTTGACTGGGTATATTCACCTGTGTTTTCTTTTTTACTGAAATAATAAAAAGCAGATCTCTTTATAGCTACTAATGTTAAGCTAAGTTTAGGTGAGAAAGCACTGAAAACTTATCGTCACCAACCTCAACTTTCATTGTGTCGACCAACTGCTTTATTACAGAGGGTTTTGAACCCTTTTGATAGCTTTATGATAATGAGATTGAGAGATTTACATCTCTTATGTGCTATTGCCTTGTTTGTTTTGAAGCTCAGTGTTTTTCTTGTTTTAATGCACATTTTATTTGCTACCTGCATAAATCATATTTTCTGCTCTGCTGTCAGTACTGGTCTGCTGTGAGATTATCTCATGTTAATGTGATCCTATTGAGTGAAATAGGAAAGTTAGACTCTTAAAGACATAGATCACCAAAACCAAATCATTTATTCTCCATGTCTCATTCCAAACCTGTGTGACTTGTTTTCTAATGTGAAATAAGAAAGGACATATTTTGCAAAATGCTGCAATATAACAAAGAGTGAAAAATGTAAGGGGGTCTGAATACTTTCCGTACCCACTGTAGATTTCCTCACAATTGTGCAGATTTTGTGCTCCAAAAGGAGAAAAAGTAGTTAAAAAAACAACTTGTGTGCTGTTTTCTAAGTATTCTGCAACCATGCAATAGTTTAGTTTATGTAAGAAACTCTCCATAATTTATAGAATTATTCACTAAAAATATCCCTCTTGGGTATTGGATCTTATTCAAATTTGGATCAGCATGCTTGATCACATGACGTGAGAACCAATAGCATTTGGCATCACTAATTTGTGTATTGCACGTTTGAATATTGTGCCAGAATGATCCAAAACAGTATTATGGCACATTGTATAGAAAACATTGACTTAAACATGATTGAAAATATGTTTTTTTGTGACAATCATACAAGGGTGAGTTAAAGATGACAGAATTTACATTTTTGGATAACCAAACCCTTTGAAAGTGACATTTTCACCTTACTGCAAAGGATAAAGAGAGAAACTTTCTTACATTATTGAGGATTAGAAATTGCACTTTTTGTAGGAGACGGTAACAGATTATTAAAACCAAAAGTTCATGTCCAAAGGAATCTTGCTGACAGACCACAAAAAAAGGGCTAAGATATTTCAGTTCCTGTAACTTTCCATGAGGATTTCTGTAAGGCAATTAAACTACAGGAGTGAATGTTTCTCTCTAGTTAAACTCTTTGAAAGAGAAACAATGGATTGTTGAAGATGGTTGTTTTGGGTATTGTTACTTAATGTTTGTATTTTGCCTAAATATCTTTGTTTTACACCATAAAGCTTCAAAACTACAGTAGTTCACTGATATGTTGATATGTGTGTATTCATTCATACACGAGTCATTTTATCTGTTATGGATAAGGATGGGATTCTACAGATGGAAATCAAACTACAGACTGAACAGCAGTTCTTCTCTTTTTTTCACTAACTGAAATGGGATGTAAATACATACTGCTTATTGATTTCTATTTTCATAATTTAAGGGGCAAATAAACAGTCCTGAATAATCCAGATTCTGCAGTGGGTTTCTTTTTTTCTGCAGATGCAATGCTGCATTGTCACAAAGGGAGTTGCTGATTTTATCTGTTGCATTGTTGTAACAAATGACCCTGAGGACTGTGTGAAGTGGAGGTTGTAAGAGAGAAAGATATTCTCTTTAAGCTACAGTTTACCTGCCGGCAGTGTTTCCGAGCATCAGAGGTGACTGAGCGAGGGCTCTGTGAATTACAGTAGTGCCCTGGGGAGACACAGCTGTGTGTTACAGCACCAGACTGGAATCTCTCTGGCTCCTGTTCATTCCTGGGTTTGTTTCCTGTATTTGTGTGTGGAAACATAGTGAGCCCCCTCCCCACCACTAGATCCAGAGCAATCAGGAGCTCCCTGAAGCCACACAACATTGTTTAATGACCTCAGAATAATCATCTGGGAAAGAATTCCTGTTCGAGAAGGAAAAATGCATTTGGGCTGTGCTCATTTTCCACACAGGGATTGAGCTGTGGAAGTGGTGGGTGGGGTAATGCTCTGAACTGTGTGTCATGGACCGTTCTGGTTTTGTTCAGGGTGTAAAAGTTTGATTCATGACTCCATTGTGAACATTTTTACTCAAAGCTCATATTTTCCCTCCTGGGATGAGGGCAGTTTAACAAGCTCCTCATTTAACGTGCTTTCGGATGGTGCGTAGAACAAAAAGCTGATTTTCTTTTTTCTTTTTTTTTTGCTTGCAGGGTCCAGTTAAGCTCAAGTATGTTGACAGAACTGTTCCCCTGACACCTGCTGTTAAAAGCTGTTTCTAGGGAAACTCAGAGGTAATGAAAAATAAACATCTCCCAAGACAGACTGTCGAGACTGGACGCTGAAACTGAACAGCCCTCATACTGCTCTGCTTTAAAATGTCAACAGCATTTTCTTTCTTTATTCCAGGAGATTGTGTTTGCAAGCAGACTGGCACAAAATCAAGAGCTGACCCTGGAATTATGAACTTGAGCGGGAACAGATGTCAAAGCCGGTGTTTGCATTTGTTCTTTTGACACTAACAACCATTCTTATGGTATTACCATGTATATTATTTTAAGTAGGCTATTCTACCATGGAGTAAATACCAGGTCTTTAAATAAACTGAAAAATTGTGTAGGATTTACTTCTAAATAATTGTTACTCAGAAATTGCTAGTAAATTTCACAAATAATTACAGTAACACTTTAATCAATTGTGAAATCAAGTAGATAGACTAAGATAGTATTTTCTAGCAAAACGTTTTTTACAATAATTACAATGTTTATATATCAAAGGAGGCATTGCTATCTCCATTTTAAAAAAAAAAGTAAAATAAAATTAAATATAAAAAGTACATAATTCTAAATAACTTTTATTACAAAAGAGTTATCACAAAAGTCTACCCAGAGATAAACAACAACAACAACAACAACATAAAAGTCTACCAGGGATAAAAAGAAAGAAAAAAAAGAAAGAAAGAAATAAAAAAAAGTCTACCAGAGTGGATATCTTTCGTTGACGCCAAGCAGACACTTGCGAACGGAAGTCACGTCCACATTAAGGGGTAACCATAGCAACAGTACGATGAGCGCGGTACATCGGAAGAACATTATTAATATTTTTAAAGACCTACATATTATATGTATATCGCCTTGCTACAATATTTTTTGTTTCGCGAGACGAACCCCGAGACCGATACAGACACTCGCTACATAACTTGTGCTACTTTTTATTATTTATTTATTTTTTAACTAGTTTTTTTCTGTTCGCAAAAGTCAGACTTAGGTCCATGGCTGTTGCACTGGGATTTGAAGACGGCTTGTCAAATTACATTTTCAAAAACGTTCCGGTTTATTGCCCTCTGAGTCTACGCGTGCTGTCAATCTTGCGTGTGTTTTACACGAGATTAATGTGTTGTATGATGATGAGGAGGGTGGATTCAGCTCTCTCTCCGAGATTAATGTGTTGTATGATGATGAGGAGGGTGGATTCAGCTCTCTCTCCGAGATTAATGTGTTGTATGATGATGAGGAGGGTGGATTCTGCACAGCGCAGGTTTGTTCCAGTGGAAATATTTCATGTTTCAATGCATCGCCGACGAATCTGTTCTGGATATTTTCTTTATCACTTCTGCGTGTATTATTTGTAAACATGAAAGTTTGGGTCAGTCTCTTCGTGTTTACGTTCGTCTGGTTCGCAGAGTGCGCACAGAAACAAGACGTACCGGGTAATTATTCAGATTTTTTTAAACGTTCATAATTAGATACACTGGCCTCTCTCGGGTAGTTATCAGTTAATAAACTTTATCTTTCCTATATATTGGCAGATATATTTTAAAGTTATAATTTCTATGTTTTCAATTCGCATTCACTCTTTTTGCTGTCTTTAATTTGTATTCGTTCTGTTTTGAGAAAGTTTGAGAAACATTCTACCTCGTCCAGTTTCATAAAAGCTCTGATAGATGAAGAGTCAGTGGACATGATGAGATTGACTGTAGTAGCTACTAGGCTATAGTAAATTCCTAATTTACTCACTCTCATGCTGTTGTTGATGTTGTTGTTTTTTTCAAGTCAGTTTTTTTTCAATGGGTCAATTCACCCATTTAACAAACCTAGTCTGAATGATTAATTCACAAATAGGTCTGATCCAGCTCTCCAGTTCAACTCACCGACTTTTGATCAATTTTACTAATTTTAATTGTTTCATTTTTATTTAACCAGCCAAATAACGTAAGAACAAGACGGACTGGGAGGGGGAATGAGAGTTATTAAGAATAATTAAAAATAAATGCAATGGATTACATCAGATGGTAAATAGAATAATGATACATAATAGAAATGATGTATTAGAAAAGATGTGCATAAATTCTAAAAAGTTTGCTAAGATAAAATAATGGAATTATTGGTCATTATTTAAAAAAAAAAAAGAAAAAGAAAAGATTGTTGGACTTTACCATGCAAGAGTATTGACTACTTTTGTGGTGCTTTTATTGCTTTTCATTTTATATCTTATTAGAGTTTGAAAGCTGTGGTCACTATAAACTGTCATTGTACAAAAAATGAGTAAAGTATTCTGCAGAAATTCTCCATTCTTGGGAGAATATCAGCATATGCATTTGGAACAAGATGACAATATTCATTTACTGTTCCTTTATTTCTAGCTGTCTCTGTTTCTCTCTGTCAGTGATAGACGTGTTGAGTTTGGAGGATGTGAAGCAGACCGTGGCTGCGGTGGAGAAGATCTCTTTAGCTCTGAAGACTCTCAGTGATGTGTATGTGATGTCTTCCTTCCGTCTGCCTCCTAAACTGGGTGGAGTCCTGCTGGGTCTCTACAACAAGCAGGATAACAAGAAATACCTGGAGGTTGCCATCATGAGCAAGATTAACAAAAGTAATGACCATTTGTTTTGTTTTTGTAATCTATAATCAGAATCAACTTGCTTTTTCTCTGAAACAGCTTTTCATATTGTTGACCAACATCCAAAAGCTTGTTGCTTATTGTTTCAACATATGTACATTCAAATTTGGCTCCATTTTAATATAGAATGCCCACTTTTTAACCATCCAATCATTTTGTGATGAATAAAATCAAGTCCTGCCCTAAATTTTTCTCATCGAATATTCTGTTTCACTTATAAAAACATCACATCACAGAGATAAAATGGGTTGCGGATGTGGTGTCTGCTCAGAACATCACTAAAAGGTTTGTTTTACTGTAGTTCTGGTCCGGTATGTTCGTGAAGATGGGAAGCTGCACACAGTCAATCTGCAGAGCCCAAATCTAGCAGACGGACAGTCTCAGTCTGTTATACTCCGTGTCGGTGGCTTGCGCAGAGAGTACCTGAGCCTTGAACTCTATGTGAACTGTCGTCTGGCTGACTCTGCCCAGCGGCTGCCCCTATTAGTCTCTCTGCCCAGAGATGCAGAGCTGGTGGAGATTCGTAATGGCCACAAGGCATACACTCGGATGCAGGTGAGACCAACATAATATGACCTTGATAATATGATGTCTTCATTATGTTTTCACAATACCTGCGCTACCATTCAAAAGTTTGGGGTCTGTATGATTTTGTAGTGTTTTTAAATTGTATTATGCCAATGCTGCATTTATTTAGTAAAAATGTGAAAATTTTTGATTTTTTTTCATGTTTAAAATAACTGAATAAACAAATAAATATTAATAAAAATTAAATAAAAATGTAATATATTTCTGTGATGGCAAAGCTGAATTTTCAGCAGCCATCACTCCAGTGTTGATTTCACATGATCCTTTAGAAATCATTCAATCAAAAAAAAAAAAAGTAAAATATCAATGTTAAAAACAGTTATGCTTTGTAAGATTTTTGGTCCAAACTGAGATACTTAAAAAAAAAAAATTCTGGATTCTTTGATGAATGAAGTTCAAAAGTTCAGCATTTATTTGAAATAGAAATATTTTGTAACAATGTAAAAGTCTTTACTATTTTGATAAATTTAATGCATTCTTGCTTAATAAAATTATTAATTTATTTAAAAAAAATCTGACTAGCCCCAGATTTTTGGACAGTAGTGTGCACTATTCTTTTTTCCATGGAAGACAAAAATATAAATATGATATGACCCATGTGGATTCTTCAAAAATTCTCCTTTTTGTGTATCACAGAAATAATAAAGCGTTCAGGTTTTCATTGAGTGAATTATTCCTTTAATTTTAATGAAATGAGAGCTTAGATGTTGTGATTGGTCATGAACTGAAATCCAGATATCAAGACTAATATTATATCAAATACTATAATCAAATGTTTTTTCTTCCAGGGTTCAGTGGAGTATCTTAAAGTGGCTCTAGGGGGCACTGTTGCCCAGGCTGGGGCTCTTACAGACTGCCCCTTTCAGGGAGACGCCTCTTCATATAACATAGGTTAGCCAGCTCAGCATCAACACAGGATTGTACATGGAGCTTGAATATACAGGTTTTTGATTGGTTGCGAAGTCTTTGTCTGAAATATTTTTGTTTAAACTTTGTTTTTCAGTGAACGGTGAGGTTAATTCTATTCTAGGTGAGTCTGCATTGGTGAAGTCATGATATGCAATTTGTTTGTTTTTTATTTATTTATTTAATTTGAAGATAATTGATTCTTTTTGTACAGGTGACCACACGAAAGCTCTGATTGGGCAGTTGATCATCTTTAATCAGATCTTGGGAGAGCTGAGAGAGGACATCAGAGAACAGGTGTGAGTGAGGTAGTGTAGATATGTGAGGGAATCTGTTCTGAGCATGTTTGATTTATGTGTTTTTGCACTATTTAGGTGAAAGAAATGTCTCTCATCAGGAATGCTATTCTGGAGTGCCAGATGTGTGGTGAGTAGCAACATCAAACCATAATACCAACCTGACAAAGCAACAAAAAACAATTTTCAGTCCTATTTGTAGTGCAGTTGGGTTAAAAAAAAGAGTGATAACCAAACTAGTTGTTTGTCATGCCTTTGTACATACCAAAGGATTCCTGACATTAATAGATTTATACTATTTTTATACAAACTGTTTATTACATGTGATCAGTGAGTGAGTGATCATTCAAAAGTCTGTGGCTGGTAAGATTTTTTTTTTAAAGAAGTCTGTTATGCTTAACAAGGCTGTATTTATTTGATAAAAAATACAGTAAAAATAGCAATATTGTGAAATATTATATTTTAAAAATAACCATTTTCTATTTTAAAATGCAATTTATTTCTGTGATGGCAAAGCTGAATTTTCAGCATAATTTCTCCAGTCAGTGTCACAGTTTCATCCTTCAGAAATCATTCTAACATGCTGATTTGCTGCTCAAGAACCATTTCTTATCATTATCATCATCATCATCATCATCATCATCATTATCATCGTCGTCATGTTGAAAATTGTTGTGCTGCTTAATGTTTTTGTCAAAGCTATGATTTTTTTTTTGTCGTTTTGTCAGGTTTGTATGATTAATTGAAAATTCAACAGCATTTCTTTGTAAATAGAGATTTTTTTGTTTTGTTAAAGGTCCTTTGATCAATTTAATGCATCTTTGCTTAATTTTAATTTCTTTAACAAAAAAATTATGCTGACCCCAAACTTCTCAATGGTAGTATGTAATTACTTATTTGCCTGCATATTTAACAGTTTAGAATGAAGGTGAAATATGTATTAAAACTGCTAAAATAATAACAGTTTTCAAACAAATTTGAGAATTGTCTCCAATTTTTTCATGCAAACTGAAAGCCTCTCCACAAACCTTCCAGTATTTAACAGCACACTCTATAGAATGTATCCCATAATCCAATGCAACTGGACTTTCATTCCATGATATTAAATATTTTTTATTTAACACATCTTTTGGTCAAAAGACACTTTTACTTAAAACTGAGTTAGAAATTCAATAATGAGGTCTTGTGACAATGTTTGAAATGTTTATCTCGGCATAATTCTGTTTCAAATAGTACTTTTTCATAGTAGGCAGTATGCAGTGTACACTATGTATGTGGGAAGCAGTATTCTAGTATTCCATTACGAATATATCCAGACAGAGGGCTTTAGATTCTTTTGTGTATGTATAATTTGCATGATATTAGATTCCTTGAGCTTATTGATTGTTATTGACTTTTTATGATAATATGTCTCTTTATTTTGAAGGATTTCATGAGCCGCGTTCACGCTGTCAGCCCAACCCCTGCTTTAAGGGCGTGGCCTGCATGGAGACGTTTGATTTCCCAGGGTACCGCTGTGGCCCCTGTCCAGAGGGCATGACAGGGAACGGCACACACTGTCAGGATATAGATGAGGTAGGTGAGGGCATTTAGCGCTGGTTTTATCTTCGTATACTGATAAGTCTTGGTCCAGAAACCACTGTAACTGTTTATGTCCATGTTCCAAAGACTCTTGAATAAACATGCCTTTGTTTTGTATTCATGAGTGTTGTTTTGCTAAAGCTGTTTCATATTAGCATGTCTCTCCCCATCAGTGTGCAGAGGCTCAGCCGTGTTACACACCAGGCACATGTGTCAACACAGCAAAAGGGTTTACCTGTGAGCCCTGCCCACCCGGACTGTGGGGTCCTCCTCTCTCTGGATTCGGTGTGGAATATGCTAAGAGTCAACGTCAGGTACCCTGCATTTATTTGATCAGAGATAAAGTAAAAACAGTAGTATTGTGAAATATTATTACAATTTAAACTAACTGTTTTCTATTATAATATATTTAAAAATGTGATTTATTCCTGTGATGGCAAAGTTGAATTTTCAGCATCATTACTACAGTATAAAGTGTCACATGATACTTCAGAAATCATTCTAATATGCTGATTTGCTGCTCAAGAAACATTTCTGATTATTATTAATGTTAAAGACAGTTGTGCTGCTTAATATTATTGTGGAAACTGCTGTGATATTTTTTCAGGATTTTTTGATCAATAGAAAGTTCAAAAGAACAGCATTTATATGAAATAGAAATCTTTTGTAACATTTTAAATGTTTTTACTGTCATGTTTCATGAATGTAATGCATTGAAAGTTATAAAATTAAAAAAATGAAAATAAAATGCATTTGATAGATTAATTTTGAATGCTAGTGTCTATAATTAATCATTTTAGCCATATATTTGAGCAGATGAAAGCAGCTGGAGTATCAAAAAAATGGCAAAACTTTTAAAATAAAGGTGAAATAGGGAATGTTGGAGAAATATGTAATTCAAAATTTGAATGTCAGTGTGGAATATGCTAAGGGTCACCACCAGGTACAGTGGCCCCCAAAAAATATTAAGACACTTAAAAATGCCTTTCCATTAGATAGAAAAATGGCAAAACAAATAGCAATCAATGTCTTTTTCTTATGAATTTGTTTCAGGAATGCTCTGATATTGATGAATGTCTTGATTTGGCCAACGCCTGCACACCCAACTCCATCTGCATCAACACCATTGTGAGTCCAGTACTTTTTCTCTGAAATCATACAAAGTGTATATGTTAACGTTTTTGAACTACTTCTCCCTTCTCTTAGGGATCATATCGATGCGGTCAGTGCAAGTTTGGATATGTTGGGAATCAGACAACTGGATGTTTCCCTCGGAAATCGTGCGCTATGCTCAGTTTCAACCCCTGTGACACTAACGCTCACTGCGTCATTCAGCGGAACGGCGACGTCACATGCGTTGTATGTCTCCTCAGTTACCAGTATAACATGTGTCCTAACCAGACGAGATGTGTAAAGATTTCAGAGACAAGCAGTTTGTCTCACAATCACATCCAATCGGAATGTATTAAATTCTTAAAACGATAGTTCCACCAAATCTGAAAATTCTATTATCAGATATTCATGCTCACATTGTTCCAAATCAGTATGATTTTCTTTCTTCTGTGGAACATAAAAGAAAAAAAAGAGAAATGTCTCAGTTTTGGTTACCATTGACTTCTACTCTTTGGACAAAAAGCAGTGTTTGGTTACCAACATCTTCAAAATATCTTCTTTTGTGTTCCACAGAAGAAAATAAGTCATATACGGGTTTGAGATAAGGGTGAGAATTTTATATTTGGGTGAACTGTCCCTTTAATGTACAATTGCGTGGAGCAGGATTTTGAACCAATGAGGTTTCACAGTGGGCTGGGCTACTGAGAGCAATGCAGTATAAACCAAGTAACTGACAAGATGCCCTGTCACTCATAACTTATCAAGGCTTAGGACGAAAAAGAAATCAGATTTACATATATCATATCATATCTTTATTACATCGTTCTCAAGTTTTCTGGTAAATTTCTGTATGATTCTCTTAGTGTAATGTCGGATGGGCCGGTAATGGTCACACCTGTGGGAAGGACACGGATATTGATGGTTATCCGGATCGCTCCTTGCCCTGCATGGACAATGACAAGCACTGCAAACAGGTCTGAAACTCACAATCTTTTAACCCACCATCCTTCTCCCTGCACGCACTGATGCTGTATAAACATTCACTGAATTGATGTGACTCTTTGATGTGACCATATTGTTCTATTTATTCTGATGGTTGAGGTACATCTTGTACCTTTCATGGAAATTAAGCTATTCATCCTAGATGAGGTAATGTGTTTACATAGACCAAGTTTGTTTTTGCATTTGCTTGGACTTTTATATGATAGATTCACCACAGCTTGCAGTCAACTTTTCCCAAGTCTGAACACAGGATTTTATGCTCTTTATGCTCTTATGCAATTGCTTCAAGTGTTGCACTAGGGATATTCATATTCTGTGTTTTTCAGGACAACTGCATCTTCACGCCCAACTCCGGTCAGGAAGATGCAGATAATGATGGGATTGGAGACCAGTGTGATGAGGATGCAGATGGAGACGGAATAAAAAATGTAGAGGTGTGTTTGTGGCCCACATTGTTATCATTGTTAACTAAAACTATTCAAAATAATTTTCATTATTTGAAATAAAATGAAATATAAATGTTAGCTAAAAACGATAAATTTTAAAACTTAAATGAAAATGAGAAATGTTGCCTGGGAATGAGTACTCAAATAAAAAAATTAAAAAAATATTAATTGAAGCAATATAGAAATCTAAAAAAAAACGAATAAAATGACAAAAGCACATAACAAAATTACTAAAATTAAAATGAAATTCAAATCAAAATATGAATAAATACTAAAATACTATAGAAATGATTTTTTTTTTCTTGTTTTTTTTTTCAGGATAACTGTCGGTTGGTTTCCAATAAAGATCAGCAGAACTCTGACACTGATTCATTTGGTGATGCATGTGATAACTGTCCCACCGTTCCCAACATTGACCAGAAAGACACTGACAATAACGGAGAGGGAGATGCATGCGATGATGACATCGATGGAGATGGTAAAGACTGTTCAGGTTGATTCATTGATCTGCTTTGTGTCCCTGCAACATCATCCTTTGAGAATGTGATGTTTGTGGATGTTTTGCAGGAATCCAGAACGTGCTGGATAACTGTCCCAAAGTGCCAAACCCAATGCAGACAGACCGAGACAGAGACGGAGTGGGTGATGCATGTGACAGCTGTCCTGAGATCAGCAACCCCATGCAGGTACTGAATTACATCTTAGTTTATATTAAACTTTATACTTTGTACATTGATGGAGTCTCAAATACACAATTATCATTTTTGGGCGAACTCCTAATGTCATTCCAAACCTGTGTTTCTTTCTTTCTTTCTTTCTTTCTTTTGTGGACAATAAAAGAAGGCCATATTTGACTTCCCCTCCCAATTTTGGTCTGTTCCTTATACAAAGCTATCATATCGTTTCAGAAGACTTTAAATATTACTTTTTAGGTTTAATTTGTTTTTATTTATTTCCAGTTAGTAATTTTAGTGCTTGAACTTACACTCATTTTGATTAGTTGCCAAGGCAAATTTGATAATTTTTTGTTAATATTTGTATTTTATTTTATTTCAACTTTATTTCAAGTAACAAAAATGTTTATAATAGTTTTAATTTTAGTTAATGATAATAACAAAACTTTTGTTAACTGTTTGTTAAAGGGAACTATGCCTTTAACAAATCATTTGAGTAACTGAAAAACAGCTAGCTTTTGCAGTCTTTTATATGTACTTTTATATAATTAATCGTATAAATAATAAACTTAATTATTTCTATTGCAGACAGATGTAGACAATGACTTAGTCGGGGATGTCTGCGACACCAATCAAGACACGTGAGTAAACACAACTCAAATGTAAATTCAAACATATAAATCACACAATTGGTAGATTATTCATTGACTCATTAACCTGGATATGGTAAGACTGGTGCCCTCTAGTGTCTGATAGTAGCTCATATAGTTTATTTTCAGCTCGGACACACATTTCAGCTCATAGTGTTTAATGTTGTGTGTTTGCAGGGATGGAGACGGACACCAGGACACTCGAGATAACTGTCCCGACATTCCAAACAGCTCTCAGCTCGACTCGGACAATGACGGCATTGGAGATGACTGTGATGATGACGACGATAATGACGGGGTCCCAGACAATCACGCCATCAACGGCATCGGACCCGATAACTGCAGACTCATTTCCAACCCCAACCAGAAAGACTCAGACAGTAAGAGCATTCATATTCACTGATGGTGAATAATCCTTCTGATTAATGACTCACATTATTACTTTCTTTCTTGTCGTTTAGGTAACGGAGTCGGTGACGTATGTGAGAATGACCTGCTGCTCTCATTGACACAGGTTCATCATGTTGCACCACTTCTATTCCAGAGATTTAAATTTTACTTATAAACAATAAATTGATGTTTGGGTGCCTTCTGGCTTCAAGTGTGAATGAAACATACATTATATGAGTTTTTAGCCCTCCATATTGTTCAAATCACTCAATTTTGCATAAAAACATACTAAATAAATAATACTCCTCTCTAAAGAAATTTGAAGTAAACATTTTAGAATCTGAATACGAATATTAGAGCTTGTTTTTTCTCAGTGGATGCATAAAAGGCTCATTTAAAGATATATTAAAGGCATGGACTTGATTTTTGATTTTGCATACCTCCTGACAAAAAATTAAGAAATTATTGTCACTATCAGATATTTATAACAAAACCGAGGTCAAAAATTGAATTCATGACTTTGTCCTTTCTAATGATTTATAGTTTGTCAAATTTAAATTTTAAGACTTATTACTTTACTTATGCAGTACATAGAAATGGGTCTCAGATAGAACTGGTTATGAATGATGTCATGCATATAATTTAAAGATGAAGTCTGTAATTTTCTGTACTTTTCTAGGTGGTAATAAAGAATGAATTAATACAGATAAATTTGTGTTTCAGGGTATGGAGATTGTTCAAACCATGAACAGTGACCCGGGCTTGGCAGTGGGTGAGTTTGGTTTCAGATAGTGATTGACCGATATTGGTTTTTTGACAGCCGATGCCGATATCTTGGAAAAGCAGGGTGGCCGATGGCCGATATAAAGCCGATATAATTTTATTTAATATTTAAGAAATTTTAAATCATTTGAAAATGGGTTAAAAAATAAATGTGTAAAATAAACATGCTTATACTTTAAATGACAAAGTATTTTTCACAAATAAACAAAAGCATGAAGCGCAGCATAATTTGAAATCACGAGTTTGTCGATCGCGCGTCTTCTCCTGTCCGTATTCAATTAACACGGACTGACCGTCACGCATTCGCGATCATGCAGGATACAAATGCACACTTCATAAGGTCTCACAGCTGGATTCGACTAAATTTGCAAGGTTTGTGAAGTTAGATGTTCATAAGTCATTCAAAGATTTGTTTAAATGATATAAATGTGTATTTGCTGAATGCTGACGGCAAACGAGAAAGTATTATAATGTTTGCCTTTCTATTACTAACAATATAAAAGCAATCGTTATAATACTTTTTTTGTATACATTTTAATTCCTTTGTTTAACAGTTCTATCTGATTATTAGTGGACAGAACTGTTAACGATGACAGCAAACAAGCGGGAGAATGTGAGCACTGTGTGTTGTTCAGGCGCTGCCGTTCTCAGTGCCGTCAAAATAAAAGTCCGGTGCGCCGTCAAAATAAAACCACGAATGCATCGGCCAAACAGAAAAACTTATCGGCTGATGCCGATATTTGAAAAATGCCAAATATCGGCCGATATATCGGCCCTGGAGATATATCGGTCAACCACTAGTTTCAGATTTCAGAAGCTAGATGCCCAGTGGACTTGCAAATGCAAACTAAATCGGTTCTCCACAGGTTACACAGCGTTTAACGGTGTGGACTTCGAGGGAACATTTCACGTTAACACCGTGACTGACGACGACTACGCCGGCTTCATCTTTGGCTATCAGGATTCATCTAGTTTCTATGTGGTGATGTGGAAGCAGACCGAACAGACATACTGGCAGTCGATACCCTTCAGGGCCATGGCTGAACCAGGCCTGCAGCTCAAGGTGAAAATGTTGCCTTTGATTCATGGAAATATATTGGCTTGCTAATGTCCATATGAGCTTTTGGGAAGTAAGACTTGAAACTGTTTGCGTAGGCGGTGAAGTCTCGTACTGGCCCCAGTGAGTTTCTTCGTAATGCTCTGTGGCACACGGGGGATACGGATGGAGAGGTGAAACTGCTCTGGAAAGACCCACGAAATGTCGGCTGGCAAGATAAAACCTCGTACCGGTGGCAGCTCAGCCATCGGCCACAGGTCGGCTACATCAGGTGAGACCTCCTCCAATTGGGGACAATTGTGTAGCAACACAATATACACTACTGTTCAAAAGTTTGGGGTCAGTTAAATTAAAAATAAAAAAAAATGAATACTTATATTCAGCAAGGATGCATTTAATTGATCACAAGTAACAGTAAAGATATTTATAATGTAACAAATTATTTCTATTTCAAATTTTTTTTACATGTCTATTTATCAAAGAATAAAAAAAAAAATCAAGGTTTCTCGTGGGTCAACTGCTGTCAAAATTGATAATAATGAGAAATGTTTCTTGAGTACCAAATCAGCATATTAGAATGATTTCTGAAGGATCATGTGAGAATGAAGACTGGAGTAATGAGTTGTTTTAAGTTGTAATCAGGGTTAATATAAGTGAACTAAAATCATAAAAAATTTGTTACTTGAAATAAAATAAACTCAAAATAAACAAAATATGAAAAAAAATTGCCAATTAAAATGTTTTTCTTTTTCATTTAGTTTAACTTGATGTACTAAAGTACAACTGAAATCAAAATGAATAAAAACATTATAGACATAATTGAAAAAAAAAACCTGAATAAAATAGACAAAAACAAATTTACTACAAATTTGAAACGAAAACAGAAAATATAAAAATATACTCAATGCAAAATATTTAGTATCTCAGTGATACTAAAATAAATATTGCTGTTTTTACTGTATTTTTAAACAAATAAATGCAGCCTTGGTGAGCATAAGACACTTCTGTCAAAAACATAAAAAAAATATTTTGAATGGTGGAATTTTTTTTTTACACTTTTTTTTTTTTTTTTTTTAGAAAACATTTTAATTGACTGCAAGCCAAAAATGTTACTGTTATCCATTTCAAATTATATTTAAACTGGTGTATTCCTTTAGTAAAAGTAATAAGTTGTTCGTCCCTGCTGAAACAACTTTTTTGTCTGTCCGATTGTGGGTCGCTTTTGTCGTCACAAGAGGGCGCAATACCAGACTGCACTGGCAGCTGATGGAAGTTTGTGCTGGTATGCTGGAGAGAGGGTGGTGGGGGCGTATGACAAGTTATCCTTAAAATTTCTTCTCAGTTGCCCCCCTCACACCCCTGAGACTCTGCTGAGTGGTTGGGCCCCCTGGCTGCCCTTTGTTGTGGTTGCCATGCCAATGAAATCCTTGGCAAGAATTTTCTTGGTGCCTGTTCATATGCAGATCCAACGGAAACTACTGTAGTGGACGGGCCGTTAAAGAAAGAGAGAGAACGGACCACAGAGGACAGTTAAACATGTATTGTGTATGATTTCCTGTACTGCGTAATTTCTTGGCATTGTGTTGTAAATCAGATGCTCTTTGCAAAAGAACCAACTCCAGCAAATGCTCAAAAATTAGTTTTTTTTTTAATTGTCATAACAGAAATTGACTACAGTAACTTCTCATTTGATGGTTAAGCAGTTCTGACGCTTTCAAACTACATGAATATTTAACACTTCAGATCAGAACTTTCCAAAGTTTCAAGTAGTTATAAATACCTACAGGAAGAGAGAGAGCTGTGTGGCGCTCAATATGTGTATGTGTGTGTGTACGTACACGTATATGCAGTTTTGTGAGACAATGTGTAGCCGAGGCTTTGTAAGGGCCCTTTCAAACACATACACATAAACACACCTGCTTTGTATTCAGTGAGAGGAGTGAATAGAGCACAGTACGCACACACACTCACACTGGATTGTGCTGCAGACATGCTCCACTCATACATAATGCAATTTAAGTCGGGCCTGCTGCTAAATCAAATCAGATCTAATTTATTATCAGGTAATTAGAGGGTGAGCAGGTGAAGTTTAGCAGCCTGTAGCATAAAACAGCTCTCGGCTTCATTCAGACCAGAATATTCTAGAACAACGCTTCTCAACTGCTGGGTTGTGACCCAAAATTGGGTCAGCATTGCTAAATGCGAATAATAAAAATCAACTAACCTTATAAGTGTGCATTTATGATGGCAAAATAAAGAGGGTTTTAAGTGGGAGGAGAAAATGTTTCCCATTTTGGTTGTGTCCAACAAGACTCTAAAGTACTTTGGTGCACATTTATTTTTCACTTGGTAGAAGATGATCTTTTTTAATATTTTCTACATTTTAATAATTACATTAATATATTTTTAATATACATTACCATACAGAGATTTGAGAAAGATTTTTTTGTTTTTGAAATATCTTTTCTGCTCACCAAGGCTGCATTTATTTGATCTAAAAATATTGTACAGTCACGCATAAGAGGGCTTTCATGTGTGTTCATGTTGTGCTCCTGTTGCAGGGTGAAGCTGTATGAAGGCACAAAGATGGTGGCTGACTCCAATGTTGTGATTGACACCACTATGAGAGGGGGACGCCTGGGCGTGTTCTGCTTCTCTCAAGAGAACATCATTTGGTCCAATCTGCGCTACCGCTGTAACGGTAAAGATTAATCCACTCTTTGATATTTAAATCATGATCCCCAGACCCCCAAATCCAACACTCAAAGTCTTCAAGAAATCTAAAATCTACAAATTCTGAATAAAAGTTGTTTATTGACAAAAAAACAGCATTACAACACTAAAAACAAAACACTCACAAAGCAAATGAAACATATCTTTTCCAGATACTGTTCCAGAGGACTTCAGTACACACCGTAAACAGGTTCTAATGCACATAAAGGTGTGAGGGGAGTGAGACGCCCTCTGTCTCTCTCTAGACCCTCTGAAACCCAGTGTGGCGCCACTGAACTCCTGTGTCGAGGGGCCAAACAACCAGGACAGATGAGAGATTTATCCAGCGTCTGTGTCACTCCGGATGAGGAGACTGAATGAAAGGAGAGAAAAGACTTTTATTTGACATTTTGCGTGTTTATTTGTCATCGCGGGGCCGTATAATGTGTGAGTATGAGTGTATGTTTGAGAGTCCTGTAGCGTGTGTTTACATGAACAAATGTCTTGAAATAAAGGGATTTGATGTATTTTCTAGAACACAACAAATACCCAACAGTACCATGGTTCTATAATCATTATTAATACATGACAAAAACAGAAATCAATTCTAAAAATACCAAAATTGACAGTTTAATATGTCAACCCCAGAATTCTCCTGTTCTGTATGCCATTAATGATGAATGAGAGCTAAGCTCAAGCATACGTATAGAAATATATTAATTTAACATTAGTTAAAATAAAGTTATATTAAACATTATATTTGAATATATTAATATTCAAATACAATCTACTGTATGCTATGTTTGGAATAGCATGCTTGTATACTCTCAAACACAGTTTGTGAATTTTCTGTATGCATAAATTTAATGAACACCTGAATTATATATTACATTTTCCTAATTGTGCAGTATACATCAGTTCACACTGTATGGAATGCTGTATGCAATGCAAAAAAGTACACCGTATACGTTGCATACTGCACAATATTCAGTAAGTAGTAAGCTAGTAACTGCCATATACTCACACTGGTGTTGAATATACACCTGCAGTCTGGCGCCGCCCTAGTGGTCGAGCTCTTCATAAGCTGCTGTAGTGGCGGGAGATTGCAGCGAGGAGTCGCGTGTTCCTCGTGGTCAGGGAGGCCGGGACGAGTGCAATATTGGCGGGAGATTGAACAACAGTGCACAACATCCCACACCTGCCAGACCGCAGGACTACAAACACACTCTCCTAAAGACTACAGACTTCTTCAAAGAGCTACAACACAAATACACATTTTTTTCTATAATAAGTTGTAATGTATTGAATTTGAAACACTAAAAAGTTTAGCTTGTTTAAAAGAAAAAAAGGTAAATGTTTTTAATTTAGTAGTGAGGGCCAATGAGGCAGTTCGGTTTTGGAGCCCATGAGGCCACTAAAGCCAAACACTGTTTGCATCTTGTAAAACATTATGAATATGAAGTACTTTCCCACCAAAGTTTTACCACCTTTTTTTGACTTAAAAAGACAATCAGTCAATAATGTTCTTATTAACTCATATCAGCATGTTAAAACCTGTATTACAACAAAATTATCACAGGACATCTTGTGTAAATATGACTAAGTCTATAGTGTGTGGGAAAAGTTATAATTTTATTATTTTATTTTTTTTTGCAAATTTGAAGTGAGTTTAATGTTCAGTTTGCGCAAGTTATGATGCAATTCGGGCATCAATGGCATTACGATTATTTGTTTTAATATATAATATTGACAGACAAATATTTAACTGTTTAACTTATGTTTTCTTTTGTTTATTAAGTTTAAAAACGCAAAATCGTAGGCTTGTTCCAAATATTCCTGACGAACGTCTACTGCTAGTTGAGAATCTAGACAACCGGTTGCTTAGTAACGGGGTAATCTGTTGACCAGCCAATAGTCCAGCAGACAAAAATGCACAACACAAAAGATAACGTCTATAAAGAAAATAAAGTTGTTTAAGATAACGAGTCACTTAACTAAATATCCTCAACAAATAATGATAATAATAATCATAAAATAGAAAGTTTTTCTCCTGGCCCAATCAGGAGTTCATGACTCACCTACAATTTCACAAAGCTCCTTAAACAAAACGCCGTGTTAGAATCACATCGCTGTTTGTTAAGTTTTTCTTTTTGTATAGTCCGGTTTCGTGCTTTTGGCACATCTGCAAGCTCGGTGGTTCTGATTTTGGCCAAAATGTGAGGGGCACAAAAGGACCTGCGGCCGCGCAGCGCCCCGCCTCCATCCAGCCAACAAAGAGCCTGAAACTCACTGATGCATGCATGCATACTGCAGACAACAGAGCAGATCACACTCTAACACACACACACAGTCCCAGATCACTCTTATGCATGCAACTGCTGCAGACACTGAAGATGACCAGCTATAATGCATGCATCAGTGTGTGACGTATACACGGAACATCTTACAATTGTTTTAATAAATAGACTTTTAAGCGTTAAAAGGCTGGTGGCCGCGATGCACTTCAGTGTTTACACTTATTCTGAAGCACAATTTCGTGTGACTTGCATCAAACTCGCTGTC